TGCCGGGGAAAAAGGTTTTTATGTCACAATTATTTAATTAATTAATTACTATTTCAGCAACAATTGGGCCTTAATCACAAGCCAGGATAGACCAAATGAGAAAAGTTAGTTTAACAATAAGTTTAACTAATTAAGTCGAATAAATTTTAGTAAATGCAATTAAAAATACTGAAATAAACCTGCTCACATAAAATGGCAAAAATGAATTATACATTTTAGTTATATAAATGTGGACTGATGAGGGTCTAAACTGAAGAAAGCAGGTTGATGATGGAGCAAAACAAGATGAGAAGTGAATGAGGAAGAGAAAAGGGGCCTTCAACAGTGTTTTCTTTAGAGTTTCCTCACAATACTCTGTGGGTTTCTATGACAACTTGGAGTCGCCAGCTGGGCCCATACAGGCAGAAGTAAGAGGTCTGTTGGAAGAGCTGGAATAAGTAACTGTTCTACTTCAAGCCAAAGTAACAGCACTGCAAAAATACAAAAAAAAGTTCAATTATCCTCAATTAAAGTTTTTATTTACTGGGTGAAACACTTACAGCCTATATTTCTACAATTACAGGTGGCAGAAAACATACAAAGTTTCTCAGCAACAACTTTACAGATTTTAACTTTTTCTCCCACTGCAACAAAATAAATCCCATTGTGTGTGTGTATTGTTCAAGTGTTGTTCAGACTAAACAATAATTGAGCTATTCATGATTACCTAGATTAGCGCTATGCTGGAAACAGATTTAACACACAGCAGCTGCAAAGGACAAAGGTTAGGAAGAGTGAAGGGATAAAATGTCCTTCAGTTGTTCCGGTTTAACAGCAGGGGGCACTGTGAAATCCACTGCAAGATATTTGATAATACATTTGTAAAGTTGGCTGCAGTGGTTAGCACTGCTGCCTTGCAGCCAGAAGGTTCCGGGTTCGGGGTGTTTCTGCATGGAGACTGCATGTTCTCCCTGAACATGCGTGGGTTCTCTCTGGGTACTCCGGCTTCCTCCCACAGTCCAAAAGCATGACTGTTAGGTTAATCGGCTTTTCTAAATTCTTGTTGTAAACGTGTAAAACACTTCAAAGTGTTTCTAATTAGCGTAGATGCCACTTTTGAATCGTTTACGTACCTTGCTAAAAGTGATGTTATAATTGTGAGTAGGGCGGAAACAACTAACTGGACTAATCACATTTAATCGATTAATGTAATAATAGTCAACCACTTTAGTCACTGATTAACTGTCAACAATGGGTGGTGAGGTTGATTGAGGACCCAGATGCAGAGACGAGTGAAGCAGAGATGAGTTCTGAGAGGTTTAATTGCAGACCAAAGGTAGCAGAGGCAGAAATCCAGAAATCCAACTTAAAATATAAAACAAACCAAAACCATGGAGACATCAGGGGAAAACGAGCCTGAGGAGCCGGGGAGAGACAAACTGAGTAGACAGCAACAAGAAGGAACCAGCACTGAGTGACTGCAGAGTAGGGGTGGGTATTGCCAAAGAAGTCACGATTCGATTCGAATCACGATTCACAGGCCACGATGCGATTCTTTCATGATGCATCACGATACTTGAATTATTGCGATGCATTGCCATATTTTC